TTAATTCCTTTCACAGCTTTGAAAACACATATTCTCCTTTACTTACAGACAACTGCAGAAACAATATGGCTGTGCCAAACACGCAGCACACACACACACACACACACACACACACACCTCACAGGAGAATTGATTGACTATTCTGTCTCAATACATCTCTCCTTCTGTTACTTAGCAACCAGCGCCCGAGAGGATATGGATGCTGGAGAAGTTGTACTCGTGTGCATTTTCAGCTGATAAAGAGATATGATTAATGAAAAAGTCACTATTACTACTGTATCTTGACTCAGAAATACAAGAAGAAACATGGTCTTTGGACCTTGTTGTTATCTTAAATTGTGCCTAAAATCCTCACAGCTGCAGGAGCGTTATAAATAATGATACAAATATTCGATAAGTTGGTCTCATTGGTAACATGGAGAGGCATGGATGCTCTGTTTATGTTCCCCACACATACAGTATTATGTGAAACAGTTGGATTTTTTTTTCACTTTGACATATTACTGTAATAAGAGTGACATGATTTCTTTTATTTGTACAATGTAAACATTTCTTCAATTTTAAACAAACTGTTAGACTATATTTTTCACACTATATTGTTTCCCCAACTAAATCCAGTTATCTACTTCTGCAGTACAGGCAGGGTGGAGTCAGTATCTCTGCATCTGCGATGTAAATGTTCAATAAAAAACTGAGAGGCTGCTTAATAAATCTATAATCAATGATGTATGGGGCCTTAAAACACTTGAGAAAAAAAATGCTTCTTTGATGATGCACTACTGTAAAAGACTTCCAGGAGGTTACATTATCTCCATTAAAACAAACAGACTCAATAAGCTGTGCAGTATATAGTGCACAATCTCAGTGTGACACTTCAGACCATTGCACATAAAAGCCCTCATTATTCCTCATATAATCTAACACTGATGGAGAGTAATGCATTCAATATTTAGGCCACGTCTGAATGCAATTTATAACAAAAAGAAATGTGACATAGTGTTTACCTCTGCATATGCGAAGCCGTGGAGAGGATAAATATCTGATTGAAATGACTGAATTGACAAATGCCAGTGTGGAAAATACAGTTTCTTTTGCTACTAGTTGTGTTGTTATACTGATTTACTGTTTGGCACAAAGTTGTGAAAAACTAACTGAAAACTCTTTGGCTAGTTAATATCTGACAGTTCCACTTGGAACCAAGCAAAATGTTTAGATAGATTTCTTTCTTTTTATTTTTCATTTCCTTTTTCTTTTTTCTTTCTTTCTTTGTCTTTTTTTGCTTAGCTAAGGCTTCATCATTTTACAAAAAAAAATGTAATCAATATATATATATATTTTTTTATTTTATTTTTGTAAACCAGTAATTCCATACAGTTTATATTATGTTGGCTATCGATCACCACTTCATTTACTGTGTTTGCACTTAGCTGTATGTGCTCTAATGATGTGGGAGGTGCACTTCAGAGAGGACACGTCTTGAATGTCTTTGCTGCTGGTTTTCTTTGCACTGTTGTATTTGGCCTTTCACTGTTTTCTGTGTTTTCTGCAGGAGGTTTCAAACCAGCCTACCTTTTGTTTTATGTCGCCATAACGCTCCAGTCTTGCTTTGTCACAGTCCTGTGTCATGACCACGAGCATTTTTCCTCATGGGTGTGACTATTGTGATAAATACTGAAAAAAAATCCGCAAACATTTCAATGATATTTGTGAGAAAGTTGCATAAAATTAAAATCTCTCTTTAAATGAGGGGAATTCATAATGTTATGCAGTAATTTTCAACTAATTTCAGGCCAAGTTTACATTCAGATTTTCAAAGCTCATCCCAGAAAACCAATATCGAAGCCTGTTTCTTACAAATTACAATAATATACAACTAAATAGTGTTGCCCTATACCTTTTCAACACACACACACACACACACACACACACACACACACACACACACACACACACACACGGCAGCACTCTGACAAAGGGGGAACGCTGAAAAATGCCACAGACCAGCTGAACGCAGGCTTTGGTCTGAGCAGTCAAGCCTCCGTTAGAAACAACGACGCAGGCTATTAGGTTACAATGCAATGAAATATATGAAGCTCATTTTGGTTAATTGACTCTGACCAGAACTAAAACATAATAGAATACTTTTCTCCAAATTATTCGATCAAATAAACGAGTAGAATGTATTGTTGGTTTTCTCATAATCGAAATAACTTTTCTCCAGTGAGTCGCATCAATGTAAAGCCAAACTAGGTCACGGGCCGACGCGGTTACCATCATTAACTTTACTGAAGGAAGGGAAAAGCCTCATATTTGACCGGCCTTACGCTGAGTGAGTAATAAGACAAGGCGGCCGACATTTCTGTCTCCAACATGTTCCTGGTGACAGTCATGTGCTACAGGTCAGAGCCACTGAACCACTGAAACGATCTCCAACGCCTCGCAGAAAGCCAGAGTGAACCTATCGATGATCAATATATAGAAAGCAGCAATCGCTTCTTGAACTTTATAGGGGGAATTGGTTGACCACGGAGCTGTGTGATATCCAGAAATAACAGCTGTTATAGACACACGTCCCCTGTTTTCATTTTATGAGCTATACTCGATGGAAATTATTTTGATCCTCTGAGCTCTTAAAACACATTTGTGATTAAATATAGCGATTAAAACTAGAACCAATGCGGGATAGCCCTCCGGCTCTGCCTTTATTTTGTAGGTCTTTTGAGAAGAGGCCTTTAGCTCATGCAAAATACAATTCGGCTACTGAAACAAGTGTGTGTGTCCGTTTCTTGTCAGCGTGTTTTTTAATCCATAAAAATATTAATCCATAAAAAATATGAACCTATCTGGAAAATGCTTTATGGCTTTTTAAAAAATGAAAATGAGAACATAAAAATGGGTCTTTTGCAGCATAGTTCAGCGTCCAGCAGTAAAGAATGTAATTAATTTCCTTCACACTTTAAATTAATTCACAGTATTGACCAAAAGTGGGTAAACATCCCTTTAAAAGGCTCTCTTTAGCTGTACTTGTTGCTCTGGCTGATCATTGTCACGTTTAAATTAAAGGCAGTAGGCCTACCTGCCATTGTCTAAGAGCCTATTATGTTAATATTTAATGAACAAACTTAAGATTACAGGTATAAATAACTATAAATATCTTTCTTTTCGATTGATCATTTCTTAGTTTTTCCTGCGCAGTGATCTAGATCACTCAGAACAATTTAAAGATTCATAAAAATTAAAAAGACGGACTATTGACAACAAATTGGCACATCTGTCTTACAGCTTCTCTGTTGCCTCGCTAAATTGCTCACGGTTTAGTTACACACACAAAAACACACACTCGCTCACAGGCAAATAAAACGGGCGGCATATATCGGCCGTGGCTGAGGAGACGGATGGTACAGGCATCAATCACCGGCACCGAGCGCGGTGCCGATCTGCTCCAGGAGCTGCACGACTCTTCATTTGTTTCTGTTCGTTAGTGAGCAGACTGATTATAGACAGAGCGAATATGTGACTGCTGGCAAAATAAATCAACGCGAAAGTCATTTAATATACGGGCAACTTGGGGGTTCAGTGTCTTGCCCAAGGACACTTCGAAGTGCCCTTGGGCAAGACACTGAACCCCCAAGTTGCCCGTGATGGCGACGCGTATGCACGCAGCGGCCCGGGGCCCTCAGCTCCAAACCAAATTTCATTGTACGTCTCATAATGTTACAATGACAATAAAATAAAGCTTCTTCTTCTTCTTCTTCAAATGTCAATAAAGCATACAGGACCTATTATTATTATTCTTAGTAGTAGTAGTAGTAGTATTACTAAAAGGTTTTACACTTTAGCCAGGCAACGCTATTACAATTTAGTGATTCAAATGAATGATTTATAAGTTGAAAATCACAGGTGACCCAACCGTCTCATAAGTTACAAAGATAAGTAGCTTATGCACTATTTATATATAACTTTGTTTTCATTTTTTAATTGCATGGATTAATTCTATTAAAGTACAAACTGTCCTCCTGTTGCTCTGTTAAGGCAGAGCCATTTTAAATTGCGTCATAAAGGAATATAATTCACAGAATAAAGACACTCGTATTATTGTGTTGTGTTTTGATAAAAATAAAACCTGAACATCTCCACAAAAACCACCAGCAGGCTGTTTATTCACTGGTCTGCACCGCTGGGATCCTAACTTACTTTGTGACCTCCTTCACCCCCTCCCAACAGCCTACCCACCCTGCGCCACGTCATTAATCTCTGTCAATCAATACTTCGATCAGGTTTATCACTAAGCGCATAAATGCAAAACCATACACTCCGTGGGAAAACAAAGTTTATCTGTAAAGAACTCGCGTGTCCGGAAACCGATAATGATGTGCGGCTATCTTACACAGGTTCTACCTGTCTGACTCCGTCACACGTGCACAGGTACACACAAGTTACGCTCGTGCACACGCTTAGATAAAAGCGTCATGTTTGGCGTAGAAATATTTACAGCTTCTCAAAACTGATTAGGCCTATAACCACAAACTGTGAGATATCCCGTGTGAGAGTCTGTTTCAAACTGTCGCGTTTTCATCCCAGTGAGAAAGACTACTGAGAAGTTTCTGCTCGTCCCCGCCCTACATTTTAAATACACAAGGCGCGCTCCCATATTCCTGACTTGCGGCTCAGCCTGTTCTTAGTGAAAGCGCTGTTGGACCAGAGATGAGATATCGCCCTGGAAAGCTCCCATACACATGTAACGCATAAAGCGCTACGACGCCGCGGACCTACTCGGTTCTCTACCTGACTCTGAACATCAGAACTCACACTACGCCCGATTGATCGGAGGATTTTAATCAATGGATTGGCGTTCAAACGGTTTGATAGTTTTATCGCTTCAGGAGGGCTAGGGGTAAGAGAGTGAGAGCGCGCATCCCCGAGTGAGAGACAAGACTGAGAGGGAGAGACAGGGGAGAGGGTGGGGTGGGTGGGACAGGGGAACATATATCCTTTCAGCTATGGAGCTCACCATGGAGAACCTTCACAGCGTCTCCTCGCACTCCCAGGCGGGGGACCTCATGAGCTCTTCGCACGCGCGGCCGTCGCCATCCCCCTGCTCCACTCCCCGGAATCTGGTTTCGCACGCTCCCGGCGCACGGTCAGCCATGGTCTCCGGTATGGCGTCGCTCCTGGAGAGCTCCGGTGGGGACTACCGAACAGACCCGTCCGCGCTTTCCGGACACCTGCACCCGTCCATCAGCATGTGCGAGACCGGGATGAGCCTTAGCAACACGTACACCACCCTGACTCCTCTGCAGCACCTACCTCCGATATCCACCGTCTCGGATAAGTTTCACCACCCGCACTCACATCACCATGCTGCCGCTCATCAACGACTTTCCGCCGGGAACGTCAGCGGCAGCTTCACGTTGATGCGGGACGACCACCGGGGCCTCGCCTCCATGGGCAATCTGTACAGTCACTACCCCAAAGAGATGTCCGTGTCTGGTATGGGCCACGGCTCACTCTCCCCACTGTCCAGCGGGCTGGGCTCTTTGCACAACTCCCAGCAGCCGCTCTCAGCCTATGGACCGAGTGCGCACCTCTCAACTGACGCTAAGATGTTATCTCCGGTGTCCGGATTTGAGTCCCATGCCTCCATGCTGTCCCGAAGTGACCAAGAGCACTTGGCAAGGAGTTTAGGGGGTCACAGCCACGGAATGATCTCCAACCTTAACGGCATGCACCACCACCCGCACAGTCATCTTCACTCCCAGGCAAACGGCGCGGTGATGCTGGGGGAGCGGGAGAGGCACGGCCACGCAGCCGGCCAGGGAGTAGCAGGGTCGGGCATCCAGGCGGAGGAAATCAACACAAAAGAGGTGGCTCAGAGGATAACGGCCGAGTTAAAGCGGTACTCTATCCCACAGGCCATATTCGCCCAGAGGATCTTGAGCCGGTCACAGGGAACCCTGTCAGATCTGCTTCGGAACCCCAAACCCTGGAGTAAGCTCAAGTCGGGGCGGGAGACCTTCAGGAGGATGTGGAAGTGGCTGCAGGAGCCAGAATTTCAGCGGATGTCTGCCCTCCGGTTGGCCGGTAAGATACCGTCCTATCAGTATTATTATTTCACATTAAAAACTGACAGTCCCATAACAATCCCGTCACCCTGCACCGTTATTTCCCAAATTATAAACAGACACACCAACTTGCGCAGGCCTCAAAGCAGCACCACGGACAGTTCAACCGGCTAAAACAAGGCGCGCAGACGCTCAGCGGCTGAATAAAATATCTAATTTCATAAAGAGAGGATGTCAGCTGGTTGTTAATTTAGATCTCTGGAAAAGGTATTAACGATTGCTCTGGGCGTGTAGATTTTCATTTACGGAGGCTGTTGTAGAATAAGTTTGTAGGTCTATATTTTTGATCGGCACATAGCAACTCGCCATTGATTCACAATAAACCTCCAACTAGCCGCCCTCCCCCGACGCCTTTCTTCCCTCTCTGGGTCCGACTATAAACACACGGCGGCGGCGGTGGGCCTACCGGGCCAACTAGTTGCACGAGAGAAGCGGGGTGACCCCAGGCTGCCTGATCAATACTCCAGTTCCCACTCTCCCTTTTAAATGTGGCACACGGATCAATACTCGTATCGGAGCTGAAAGACGCAATAACCGCACGGTCTCTCCGGCTTTTCATTTAGTACTCGGTAGTAAAAGCTCTAAATTTAGAACCTAAACAGATATGATCGTTCAAACATACCGGTGTGATCTTTATACGCAACAGAGGCGACGCTTTCTGTGCTGTCAGCAGATGAGCAGAGTGTGTTAATGGGATTAGAAACCCTTGGGACATGATTCTTAAAAAAAGAACTTTATAAACGCTTATTATACTGTTATAGATATGTCCAAGCCAGCCAGTATGATTCCCAGATATATTTCATCGCAACCTTAAGATGCACGAACAGTTTTGATGAAACATTGATTGTAGCTGGGAAAGGGATTGGTAGGGACCAGTATAGACAAAAATACCGAGAATACTGGGTTTAATGCTGAAAACACTGAGAAAGGCAATAAAATTAGTAAAGATTTAGCTTATTTTATTTTATTTTTTTACTGAAAACAGCATCATGTGCTTCTGCTTTCAATAACTTTGAAAGAACAGATGTTCAAATCAACAGCTAATGTATTACAGTAAAATACACAGTTATTTGATCTTCTGTTTTCAGAACTCAGTCCATCACAGTTTAACAAGTGGAAATACATGTACCCAAGCACTGTTCTTCCGTTCAGTTTTGAGGTATCTGTACTTAACTTGAGTATTTCCGTTTTCTGCTACTTCATACTTCAACTTCACAACATTTAACAGGCAAATATTGTAATTTTTTAACTTCACTACACTTATTTGATAACATTAGTTACTTTTCAGAATCAGATTACATAACCAAAATACAGTATAACCATACAACTTCATTGATTCTTGGTAGAAAATTCACAAACTACTAATTTGACTTATAAGCATACAGTATTACGGACACAATAATATAATCCAGTAATAAGATTCAGCATAACGAGTACACGTTTGGTACTTTAAGTATATTTTGATGCTAATACTTTGTACTTTTACATAAGTAACATTATGAATACAGGTCTTTTTCTTGCAACTTGTTACTTGTAGTTTTCTTTTAAATGAATAAAGAATTTGAGTCCTTGTTCCACCACTGAATATGGACAACAACAGATTTAACGGAATCAGATTTAACAAGACTGCCAGCCTATAGATAGACAGATAGAGGAGGATTGCTGAGGCTATGTGTGTCATTCATAGTGTAGCTCTGTCCTTTCAGTGTTTGCCTGGCTTTGCACATAGGAGATCAATAAGGCTGTTTCCCCTTCCCAACCCCCTTCTCTCCCACTCCCTGGTGCTCTCCCTCTCTATTTTTCTTGTTCTCTCTCTGCAGCATATGTAAATAATACCACTAATCTTTCACTGGTTAACCTGGCAATGGGCAGGCAGGTTGTTTGGTTTCAGGATGTCAGTGCCACAATAAAAAACAAAACAAAAATCACTGACTAGAGGATGAAAATAGGGTGAATGACAGCGTGTATCATAAAATCAAACAATGCACGTGGCTATTTTCCATCCTCCCTACTCTCCCTTACCAGACCCATCTTTTATTGCCCATCAAACTTGCTTGTGCCATGAAAGATTAATATCAGTCTGATGTTTCTCATATGTTCTGAAGAATCCAAATGGACCAAATTGGGGTGTACAAAACTTCAGTCGGCCCAGCTTAAGTGCAAAAGCGAGAAAAGCAAAACTGACATGTGGAAAAAGAGCTGGAAGAGCCGGGAGATGCCACTGATTGAGTGAGGGCAGGCAGGTTTGGGCTTTGTGTGAACAGCCAGATAGAGGCAGGGTAGTGAAAGGATCAATACCAACCTTAATAATTGATAAGTATACAGGAGACGGAGGAGAGAGGGGAGGAAAGAGAAGGCAGAGTGTGGTAGTGTTAGAGCCTGTAACAGCATCTTCTAAGTAAGCATAGTCAAATGTGTGGTTAACAGTTGAGGACCACACAGCAGTCTCACTGCTGAGCGTGTGTAAGTGGTTTTGAAGAATGCTATTTACACCCCAAACATCCTGTGAAATATCAATAACACAGACCTGACACCAACAAGGGTGGTGTAGACTTCCAGCGTTGAAAAGCATAGATCAGATGAGGCCAGAAAACAAACCTCCCTAGCCATTTGTAAAGAGATTGCAACATTTCCAGTGAGATCAGCGCATTGTGGCTGGGATTTTAACACAAATGCACAAAGACCAGAGCTGAAGACCCTCTTACTGTAGACAAGGAGCATCAGAGCATCCAGTTGCCTATCGAGTCATAGTAATGAATGCTTTCTGCTCATGTCAGCAAATCCTCAAAGCAATCCAAGGTTGTGATGTCAGTTGATTTTAAAGGTTGCTATGCTTTATGGGGTTTGTAATGCATCTTTATGGAGGCATGCAAGCACATATCAACCACTGTGTGTGTGTATGTACACATGAATATGTCTGTGTACGTCTACATGCACATGTGTGTGAGAATGGGAGTGTGTTTGCACTATACATTGTTCAGGCTTATCTGACTAGCTCTGAATCGGTATTGATTTTCTCTCTTCTGCTCCCTTCATCTCTCTCTCTCTCTCTCTCTCTCCTTCGCTCCCTGCCTCCTTCCTCCCCCTTCTTTCTCCTGTGGCACTCTACCAGCATCAGCAAAGCACATCTCTTGCCTTCCACCCCTTCTTCATTTCTGCTGTCTAGTCATCTCTTTCTGTACCAGACAGAACTAATTTTGCATACTGGCACACAGCTGTGGAATATTTTGACAATTAGTATGACCGAGAGTGAATGTGTCATGACACAGAAAACATATACTGTAGGCTTCACAACATAATGTATGAGCAAGCTCTATAGCCTCACACAAAGTGTAAAACAACCTCCAACCACAACCTCAAATCAGAAAAAAAGTTGGGAACTGAAAATATTGATGTGTAAATCATCTGTGACCTGTATCACATTGAAAACAATACAGCAGCGCTTTATCTGATGCGATACCTCATCAACTTTATTCTTTGTTCAAAATAAACATTCACTTCTATTCTGATGTCTGCAACACATTCCAAAAAAGTTGGGACAGCTGCATTTCAGGGCCAGTAATGAGGTAAAACAATGAAATGATGATTCCACTAGAAACAGGTGATATCAACAGGTGACTGCATCATGATTTGGTACAAAACATGGCATCCAGGAAGGGCCTGGCCCTTTAGGAGCAAAGATGGGCTGAGGACCGCCAGTTTGCCAACATATGAGTGAGAAAATTATTGAAATGTGTAAAAACAATGTTCCTCAAAGAAAGATAGGAAGGGATTTGGATATGTCACCCTCTGTGGTGTATAGACTCCACAGTCTAAAAGATTCAAGGAATCTGGAGGGATTTCAGAAGGAATAGGACACAAGCCTAAGCTCTCCGATCCCTCAGACGGCACTGCATCAAGAATCTTCTATAAGCGATATAACCAGGATTACTTTGGCACACCCGTGTCAGGCACTACAATATGTAGTTACATGCCGCTTAAACCTGTACTGTGCCAAAAGGAAGTCCCATGTCAACAGTGTCTAGAAGCACAAAAGCTTTGGGCTCGGAGGCATCTGGGATGGACCATCACACAGTGGAAACGTGTACTGTGGTCAGAAGAATCAGTTTTTCGGGTCTTTTTTGGAAGGAATGGGCACCGTGTGCCATCCAAACTGTTACCAGCCAGAAGCCAGGGTCTGTCATGGTCTGGGGTTGTGTCAGTGCCCTTGGCAAAGGTAACCGCCACTTCTGATTTCTCCATTAATGCTGAAAAATACACAGATTATACAGATATACAGATTTTGGAGCAGCATACGCTGCCTTCAGGACGACATCCTTTTCCAGGGACGCCCATACATATTTCAACAAGACAAGACAAAACCTCATATTGCACGTTACCAAGGCATAGCTGTGGAGCAAAGGGTGTGAGTGCTGGACTGGCCTGCCTGCAGTCCTGACCTGTCCCCAGTAGAGAATGTGTGGTGCATTTTGAAATGCATATTGTGTCAATGAAGACCAGGACTGTTGTGCACCTTAAGACTTGTTTGCAGGAGGAATGGGACAAAATGACACCTGACACGTTTAATCACTTTGTGTCCTCAGTCCCTAAATGTCTTTTAAGTGTTGTAGTAAGGAACAGTAACACCACATCGTGGTAAATGCCTTACTGTCCCAACGTTTTTTGCAATGTGTTGCAGACATCAGAAATGAAGTGAGTGTTTGTTTTGAACAAAGAAGAAAGTTGATGAGGTATCACATCAAATAATGTGCTGCTGTACTGTTTTCAATGTGATACAGGACACTGATGATTTCCACATCACTATCTTCAGTTTTAATTTTGATTTTACACACCGTCCCAACTTTTTCTGATTTGTGGTTGTAAATTACTGAAGTGACCTTTTCCTGACCTGCACCCACCTGTGGCATGGTCAGTATTTTAACTTAACCAAACTTGTGCACATGATCTGGGCACAAGGTG